TTCTCCTTCTTCTGAGGGAGAACTGAGTTCTCCTTCTTCTGAGGGAGAACTGAGTTCTGAGGAAGGGTCACCGGACCCAGAACGTTAACTCTGTTTTTTCCTTCACGGATGCTGTCAGACCTGCTGAGCTTTTCCAGCAACTTCTTTATAAAACACTGTTTAGGCCACAACTGCATGCAATTTTTATAGGAAAGATGTGATTGCGATGGAGAGGGTGCAGAGGCAATCTACCAGGATGCTTCCTGGGCTGGAGGATCTGAGTTATGAGGAAGGATTGGATAGGCTGGGGGATGTCCTTGGAGCGGTGAAGGTTGAGAAGGGACATGATAGAGATGTATAAGATTATGAGATGTAATGATAGGGTAGATAGGAAAGCACTTTTTCCATCAGTAGAAGAGTTATCAACTGGGGGAATAGAATTGAGGTAAGGGGTAGAAGGCTAAGACATGAGTTGAGGATAAATTTTTTTTGACTCCGGGAGAATGGAACACACTTTCTGAAAGGGTGGTTGAGTCAGACATTTAAGCTCAACATTTAAGTACTATTTAGATATTCACTTGCATTTCCATAGCCTCCAGGGGTCTAGACCAAAAGCTGAAAAATGAGATGAGTGTAGTTAGGTCTTCATTGATTGCTACAGTCTTCTGTATCATGATTCTTTCCCTTGCCCCTCTCTTGGCTCCTCCAGTTCTCCATCCTCTTACCCATAATCCCGACCCTGACCCCTCTGCAACTTGTCTTATTGTGCCTGTCTCATTACCCCTCAGTTGTCTTCTCTTTTCTTTCCCCCTCACTTACCCCTCTCTGAAACACATTCCCACCTCACTCTCCATGATCCAGAACCTCTGCAACATCCTTATGTTTACCTTGCCCTCATCTATTCCCCTCCACCCTCTGAACATCCCCCACCTCACCTTCCCACCCAAACCATCTCCACAATCTTAACATACTGCATGCCCAGTTTCTCCCTGACACTTCTTTTACCTGTTGTACTGTTTCAGAATGTGTCTCTGTTTGAGATGAATGGTTCTGACGAAAGTGGAGACGAAAAGTTAACTCCTGAGGATGAGGATTCTCAGTGCGAGTGTGATTTGTTTGGGGAAGTTACAGAAGCAAATCTGAAGCTACACAGAACCCAGAAGCAAGAGAAATGTAGAATAGAAGTTCTGTCAAGTGATGGCACCCATTAACTATCCAAAGGAGCCTGGATTAGGGACGTTGATTTCTTCACGTTTAAAAGGGATGCAAGTGATGCAATGTCCTGCATGATTTCAGAAGAGAATTGGATTGTTCAGTCCTCAGTCTCACTGTTAACAGTCACATTGGACCCAGCAGCAATCACTAACGTGTCTGAATGGATTACTAGAGCATCCATTTTAGCCGAGAGACTGATGGTTCCGGATCAATTATCTTGCAAAGGAATGGTCCAAATGAATGACTTTCCAGCAAAGTAGCACCCTGCACCCGTCATTGCATGTTATTTGTATACCTCATGTCAGCTGGTGCACTTTCAACGGCCAATCAAAACAGGCAGCCTCTGGATATAACAGTGCCTGATGTTCCTGAGCATTATAGGTCTGCTCTTCTTGTGAACCATTTCTAATGGAAATAATTTCACCAAATGCCCTGGTACTGGAGAAACTGAAAGAAAGCCCTCTAGTATAATAAGCTCTGGTTTAGTGTTAAGCTCCGCAATGACCAGGAAATAGATGGACTTAGTTATTGCTACCCATTTGATACAGTCAGTTTATGGTGTTAGAGATGTTGAAAAGAGAATTGCCAAGTGTTGTAGTTTTTGAAAAGTGAATCAGTAAAATGAGCACAATTTTGTAAAAATGACATTTGAGGTGATAACCAGACATGTATGAGAATCTGTACAATGGGAGTATTTAACAAATCAACCAATTCCCTGCAGAGCTAATGAAAACTGATAGCTCACCTTGCTGAGAAATCTTTGTAATTAGGAGCTGGGGGATAATTTTGTTCAATTCCAGTAGATCATTAAAACAATGTCCTGTAACTTTTATTTTTAGAAAATACTGGTTATATTTTGATATACCATGTAAAGTGATTTGACAGTGACAGTACTATATCCTGTAATCATTATAAACAATCTTGTGTATTATAATCCTTGTGAACAGACTGACTTGCCAAGCCTGTGCTGCAAATTCACTGGCTCAGGGATGTGCTTTATCTGCAACACTGATCCTTCTCAATTTGACAGCAGATCTTCTTCAAATACATCATAGCAGATTTCAGCTGTAGGTGCTACATTCGATTCCTTGATAGCATTCAAACATTTATCACTTTTGTCTGTCTTGCAACACCAGCTCTGACAAGCCACCCCTTCTGTCATCAACATCTCCTGATCCTGACGCAGCTTATTGATGCATTTTTTTTTCTCTGCCTTTGTGTTTGAAGATACTTCTTTGAACTCTATAACCTAATGCATTTTTCTATCAAATCTGACTGCAGGAAACTGGTAGAAAGGTGGTTCAGCTGTTCTTTGCAGTCTGCAATCTCATCACTTGTGCTTGGCTAATTGAATCTTTTTTTCTTTATTCCTCATTCTTCTCCAAAAGCCCCACCCTCTTGAGTCACCTCCTTAGCATTCAGTAAGGTACTGAGCAGCTCTGGTTTCTTGTGGTTTAGTGAGACATTCTGATTCTGCATGTGTTGGAGTTGTTATCTGCCTAGTTGTTGCAGTTTCTGCAGATGCACTTCTTGTCCAGGTTCAAATGATGGAATTGTTAGTTGTCATGACCCTGTTTCCAGCAGAGGGTGTAAAACTCTGATAAGTCTGAATGTCCAGTTGAACAAAGTGCTCTTCCTCACTGGGGCCTGATCTTTTCTGAAGATCAGCCAGTGTGGTTTCCACCTGTTGTCTGCATGAGGCTTCTTTCATTTGCATCCAAAAGTTCCAAATGACCAAGAAAGATTCCTTGTGAAGGATGTATAAGTAAGGATAGTGAAAAATTGATTAAACTAGGGTTGAGAGAAAAGAATGATTTACAGACACATTCTGTGTATTAAAATAATGGTTTCTTTGTATGGATGAATTACACATTTTGGTGTAACTAATTCTGTATTCAATAGTTGTTTCAGTAGTATTGCTGAATGTGTCTCTTTTCAGCAATACTCTACTTCTGTATGATAACCTTGTATTAATTCATATTTCTTTTTAAATAAAAATTTATTTGAATTTACTATCAGAAGGGTTGTTCTTACCTTGTGGTTCTAAGTCTCACCTGAACCAAAAAATTCTGAAAATTTAGTTGCTGAGGTTACCTTTTCTTATGGTATATTTGAATTGTGCCATTGACTGAAAATCGGTTTGCCACTACAGCTTACTGTGACTTATTCAAACACATACAAAAGCTATAGGAACAAATTTTGGCCATCCTGCAATGAATTGCTCATCACTGCGCAAATTTAAGCAGCCCTTGAAGAGAGGTGTACATCAGTCATTCTTACAGATCTGGATGGGCTTCATATGATGCATTTTGCCAATGATTGAAGAGACCAATTTGAGAGGCAAATTCTGCCACCAGTGACGCATACTTTGAAATGTTGCTGTGACTTGTTATTTTGTGTTAGGGCCTGTTCCCAAACCACCATATTGCTATTTTCCTAGTGTCTTCTGGGTGTGAAAATCAATGTTTAGAGTCATCATATCACACTTGAAAGCATCCTTGAAACAAAACTTTTAGGCATCCCATCGATCTGTTGCTACCTTACCAACAGACCTTGGATACCTTTCGTTCTATGAATGTGCCTGAACCAGCAAAGTTACCTCTGATTTGAGTACCAGTCTTCTGGGAGAGATTTAGAGGATTTTGTGATTTTTGTCCTTCCACTCGATGCCCAGAATGTGCTGCAAACAGTGAAAATGAAAGATTTTAAATTATTTCATGACAGCTGTAAATTGCCCTTTTTTTCATTCATGAGTGTCATCCCTAGTTGCCCTGCGATGATGATGAGCTACCTCATTGAACTGCTGAGTCAGCTTGATGTTGTTCCATCCACATTGGCCAAAATGTAGAGCCAGCTTTTCTTACAACTGATGTTCCTTGTCTGAGACAACTCCATATCATTAGTGTTTTTAATGTAATAAAGCATCCCAAGGTGCTTCACTGAAGCATTATTAAACAACATGATATTGAACTGCATGAGGCGATCATAGGGCAAATGACCATAAGTTTAGTCGAAGAGACAGTTCTTAAAGAATGTCTTAATTGAGATAAGTAGAGAGATTTAGGGAGAGGTATTCCAGAGTTTGGACTGAACTTGTTGTGAACTAAACAGATGTGAAAATTGGCGCAACGCAACCTCTATAACAGAACTTGCCTTGTCCTTGTGCCACTTTGCCTTCATTCAAAACTTATTGTACCTCTAACTTTTCCCAGTTCACAGACAACCAAGTCCACAGCTCCAGCAGTAACAAAGGGAGTAGGTGGAAGTGGGGGTGTTCCCTTTTCTAACAGTGGCAGCATATTAATCTTAAGTTTGTCATCTTCATGGCCAGCTGCATGCATTTTAATGTTCCTAATTCATGCCAGAATGGCACAATGGAATATTTAAACAATGTTAAGCTTGAAATAAATTGATGTGATAGATTCTTTGAAATCCCAATTGACAATTCCCTAGTTCCACGTGATGGCTTTCGAAAGTTTTTGTTTGAATATTTTCTTGTTCCCAAGCTATGGGTGTTGCTGACAAGATTGTCCTTGCTCATTGTCCTGGTGGTGACAAACAGCTGCAATTCATGTGGAGGTAAATGCTGTTGCTTAGAATGCTGTTGGATGAATACTTCTTCCCTTGGTCATCAGGCAGAGTAAACTTTAAAAACTACTTCTGCCAAAACTAAGTTTGACTTAATTGACAGATGGGATAAACTGGGTTTCTTTGGGACAGAGGAGGCCAAGTGAAGATTTAATTCAGGCATTTAAAATTATTAGGGGCCTCAGTGAATGGATAGGACAGACCTTATTTCAATTAGTTGATGCTAGGTTAATAGTTTTCAAGTAATTGGCAGAAGAATTAATGAGGCACAGAAGACAATTTTTTTTCACCAAAGTAGTCTGGAAGTGGAATGGGGATCTGCTCTTATTGGTTGACTGGATGATAGAGCCAGAACCTTCAATGCATTTTAAGTGCTGTAACTTAAGAGTTGTAAAGCAAGATTAAAAATACCACCTCTTTTCCAGCAGGCATTTTTCCAACTCCTTTCATTTTTAAACACAATTCTGTTTAAGTTACATGATCAGGAGGCAGTCATTGATGCTTGATTATTGAGTTTTATTTATTGAATCAAAGCTGACAGGAAAGTGACCAGGAGTCTGGCACTTCCTGAATGTACAGTAGGAGTCCCTGCATTCTATGACTTACAATTCATTTATCAGATCACATCTTAGAATCACAGAATCCCTACAGTGTGGAAGCAGGCCATTCAGCCCATTGAGTCCACACCGACCCTCCAAAAGAGCATTCCACCCGGACCCAACCCCCAACCCTATCCATGTAACCCCCAGCACTACGGGCAATCCAGCACAGCCAATCCACTGAACCTGCACATCTTTGGATGTGGGAGGAAACCAGAGCACCTGGAGGAAACGCATGCAGACACAGGGAGAATGTGCAGCCTCCACACAGTTGCCCAATTATGGAATCAAACCTGGGTCCCTGGTGCTGAAGCAGCAGTGCTAACCACTCAGCCACCATGTTTTTTTTTAAAATTCATTCATGGGACATGGGTGTCATAGACTAGCCAGCAAATTTTGTAGTTGTCCTTGAGAAGGTGGTGGTGAGCTGCCTTCTTGAACTGCTGCAGTCCATGTGCTGTGGTTTGACTAACAATGCAATTAGGGAGGGACTTCCTGGATTTTGACCCAGCAACAATGACGGAATAGCCATTTCCAAGTCAAGATGGTAAGTGGCCTTGTCCTTCTAGATAGCAAGTTTGGAAGTGCTACTTAAGAATTTCTGCAGTGCATCCTCTGGATATCATACACTGCTGCTACTGAGTGTCCATAGTGAAGTGAGCGGATGCTTATGGCTGTGGTACCAACCAAGCTGACTCTTGTTCTCTGCTTCATCCATTGTATTTCGTTCATGGAATTCGAGAAACTTCACAGAAAACAGTCTGTCACAATTAGCATTGGCATTTAATAGAAATAATGTCCTAGTCCTTTTGACCCAGAATTATCCCAACTGTATCAGACAGGAAGGTAGCTGAGCACATATTTATCAGCCCATTCAGATTATCCTCTACTACACCATGCAATTCACACCCCAAACACACAATCTTGAAGACAGTCAATGCTTCATATTTCATTTTAGACTGAAGATTACAAATTTATGCAAATAATTTATACAATGGGATGAAACTCAGCATGGTCACGTGTGGGGGGGACACCCACAAACAAAGCTCGTATGATCAATGGATTTACTCCAAGGACATATTAGACAAAAGTGAGCTGGAACAACCAAAAGCAATGGCCACAAATCACAATCACCAAATACCCAGCATTAAGAGCAGTGAAAATTGAGAAAGAAACTGGCTCAATATCAGCTGGAATGCATAGCAAAGCTTTATTTTTACTAAATTACGTGATGCATGCTTAGACCGCAACTAGTAATTTTTACATACATGATGAATAAATTCATATTAGTGAGTTGAGAAAACAAACATAAATAGAAATTTAAGCCATTTTAGAGCAGAAACAGACCAGAATATTAAGTAAATCTTCTTTGCCTACATAGCTGCAGAGACAGTAGTAGCTCATAAGGTGGGGTGGGACCAGTTCCTCATAACCCAAGATCACATGATATATAAGCTAAATGTCTTCATCAAAAACACTCAGTCCCTGTGATTTCTCCTGGACTAGACTTGACCAACTTGATGTGATTGGAAAACATTTTTTTGGAGGATGTTCTCCCAATTGTCTGTTGTTTCTTTTCTCTTTATTGTCTCCCAAGAAATGAGCTGAGTGCAGGGTGGAAGTATCTGTTGCAATACTTTAGTCATCATTGCATGTGGGGCAATCCTGATGGATCAACTTTTTTTTTTAAACCTACTCCATCAGTTTTAAAATGTCAATGTTGCCCTAATTCACCATTACATTAACTCCAAGAAGTAGTGCCGCAATGCAATTCCAAGGTTCGTTTTGTCAAATTATTAATATTCTGTAGCGATCAAGTGGAATCATTGTGAGATCACTTTTCAATGTATAGTCGGACAAACAATAAAACGGTCAGGACTAAAGGCAGGTATATAGATTAATTGCCAGTTAGAAATTCATGCAACAGAAATCTTCTTGCACAAATGAAGCAAGTGTTCTTAACAGGACACATGAACATAATAATATAAACACACTTTCAGACATGAAACTACTGGAGTACCAGTATTTATATGACATTATGTGTATATTACAAAACACAATCTTGATACATGTGCCTACAGTCAAGACGTACATCAGTTCCAGGGAACAGGCATTCAAATTTACAAAAGGTACAAAATATTGAAATTATTCAAAATTAAAGCTTATTATGCAGTTCAAATGCTATGCTGCTGTCGTCTGTACTCACTGTAAGAAGATCTATATTAAAGGCACTTCATTGTGATCATGTGCAAATAAATTTGTAGTGATACTTGGCAGCACCAATATTTGGACAAAAATATAGCAGTATATTATTCTACAACTATTAATGCAATAAGATCAGAATTTGATGACACCACCCTTTCCTCTATATCAGGTTTTGTCGAACACAATAAATGACCTTCTTAAATGGTCAGTAAAATTACAGAATTATAAAAACCAAATGTTTAAGTGCTTGGTTCTGGTGCTCAGCTGTACTGAATTTTCCTACAGAATTTTCCTAAATTTAGCCCAAATTCCAGCACACAAGTTTGCAGAATTTCAAGAAAAAAAAAATCACATTTCTATGATATTTTGAGATAGTTAGATAATTGCTGTGCCTGTCCACAAAACTGCCAACAGCCCAGGTTGAATTAATCACCATGGTGATGTTCCACAATTGCACTCATTTTCAGACCATTCAGGAAGCCCTTTATTAAACTCTCTTGGTTTTATATTAAAGGTGTAAATACACCAATAGACACCTTTTAAAACTCAGAATTAAACTGATACTGTACACCACTATAATTCACAAATGATGCAGTATAGTCACTTTCACTTAATTAAAAT